GATCTCAGGATAAATCCTGAGGGGATTTCACTGACCTTATCAGACCCAAAAGCTACAACTCTTGTTGCATAGGTCCTGCTTTACCTTGGTCTTAACTGTCCAGCAGAAAAGTATAAAAACAAAGTATAATAAGTAAAGCCATGCTGTTATGTTGAGCTGTAGGGGACTTAGGTCAACAATTTCTGACATTGCCAGTGAAGCAGAAGACCCAATACTATTATGGACTACTGGACTCTTTTAGAATATTTTACTGAGTTTACACACCTATAATATTTAAATGATGGAACTTAACAAAAAAATGGGATACAGTTGACTGTCCATTTGGTATCTGTGTATTCAGAGTGGTTAGGATAGATATATAGTTACATTCTCATAATGAATAGAGGGATTTGTTCTAATAGTGTTTGTAAATAGGATATCAAGTCCGCGTCTTGTACAGCAATTAACCACTAGGAAGAATGTATGCAATGTGTTGAAACTGTCCTACCAATTATTGAAACTGTCCTACCAATTTGGTTTGAAACTGTCTCATTGCTATTTGTTTCTCAATAAAATTATGGGAAAAAAAAGATTCACTAAAAAAAAAATTTCCTCACCGAAATTAAGTACTGTGTATTGCAAGTGGGTGTATTACAGACTCCCAGCTGAACCCTACCATTTCGGTAAAAGCAGTGTCCAAGCCAACATGCAACATGTACAGGGAATGGATGATTAAATATTCTTAGGGGGCATCCAGCCAGATCTCCTCACGGTGAATCATTACTAAAAAAAACTATCAATTGTGACTGGTTGTCTTTTACTCTTACAGAAGTGAAGAGGTAGAGAAATCCTATCAATATAAATTATGGTGTCAACATGCAGAATTGGCTTCTCAGACTCCAGATCCAAATGTGCACATGACAGTTGTTGGTCTAAAACCAGGTGAAAGCCTTTCCTCTGGAAGGCTCCTGGATGGTCATTCATTAGCACAAGGACCCATCGTGGCTAAAAATATACGTCAACCACATGAGCAGCAGGGATTTCAAGAGAAGCTGTCTGCCTGTAACAAACATGGCAAAGCTTGCACACAAATTCCATCTTTTCAGAGACATGCAGAGACTGGTCCTGGGGAGAAACTCCATGAATATATTCCATGTGGAAAATCATATTCCGATTACACTGAAGAAAGTACCATTGAAGAAAATCCATTTGCATATAAGAAAGATATGAAATCATTCATTACACCCAGCTATGTTCAAATTGGGGAAAGAAGTCACAGTGCACTGATTACATATATCTGCATACCATGTGGAAAAGGTTTTAATTCTGACATTGACATTCAGACTCACGAAAAGGCTCACTGTGGAGAAAAACCCTATGTAGGTAAACACTTTGGAAAATCTGTGACTAACAATTCATTGGATAATCATGAAAAAATTCACATTGAAGAGAAACCCTATGTATGTAAGCAGTGTGGGAAAGCTTTCAGGAGAAAAGATAATTTGCGAATGCATGAGCGGATTCACAGCGGGGTGAAACCTTATGTATGCAAGCAATGTGGGAAAGCTTTCAGCAGAAAAGATAATTGGCAAATGCATGAATGGACTCACACTGGAGAGAAACCCTATGTATGTAAGCAGTGTGGAAAAGCTTTCAGCAGAAAAGATAATTGGCGAATGCATGAATGGACTCACACTGGAGAGAAACCCTATGTATGTAAGCAGTGTGGGAAAGCTTTCAGCAAAAGTGGTAGTTGTCAAATTCATGAAAGAGTTCACACTGGAGAGAAACCTTATATATGTAAGCATTGTGAGAAAGCTTTCAGCACTCATGATAGTTGTCGAATACATGAAAGAAGTCACACAGGAGAGAAACCCTATGTATGCAAGCAGTGTGGGAAAGCTTTCAGCAAAAGTAGTACTTGTCGAATTCATGAAAGAATTCACACTGGAGAGAAACCCTATGTATGTAAGGAATGTGGCAAAGCTTTCAGTACCCTAGATCGTTGTCGAATTCATGAAAGAATTCACACTGGGGAGAAACCCTATATATGTAAGCAATGTGGAAAAGCTTTTAGCACAAATAGATATTGTCAAGTACATGAAAGGACTCACACTGCAGAGAAACCCTATTTATGTAAGCAATGTGGGAAAACTTTCAGCACCCATGGTGTGTGTCAAACTCATGAACAGACTCACACTGGGGAGAAACCGTATGTGTGTAACCACTGTGGGAAAGCTTTCAGCAGAAAGGATAATTGGCAAATGCATGAACGGACTCACACTGGGGAGAAGCCCTATATATGTAAACAATGTGGGAAAGCTTTCATCACACATCGTAAGTGTCAAATACATGAAAGAATTCACACTGGGGAGAAACCCTATGCATGTAAGCAGTGTGGAAAAGCTTTCAGCACAAGTGGTGTTTGTCAAAAGCATGAACGAACTCACACAGGGGAGAAACCCTATGTATGTATGCAGTGTGGGAGAGCTTTCAGATCACACTCAAATTGTCAAAGACATTTACGGACTCACACAGGAGAGAAACCCTATGCATGTAAGCAATGTGGGAAAGCTTTCAGCACAAACAAGGATTGTAAAATACATGAAAGAAGTCACACTGGGGAGAAACCCTATGTATGTACACTATGTGGGAAAGCTTTCAGATCACACTCAAATTGTCAGAGACATATACGGATTCACACTGGGGAAAAAGTCTGTGTATATAAGCAATGTGAGAAAGCTTTCAGCACAAACAAAGATTGTAAAATACATGAAGGAAGTCTCACTGGGGAGAAACCCTATGTATAAAAGCAGTGAGGGAAAACTTTCAGCACAAATAGTATTCATCAGAATCATGATTGTTCTTACACTAGGGAGAAATCCTACTTATATAACCAACGTTGGAAAGCTTTCAGCAGCAAGACAGTTGTCAAGAACATGAAAGGACCCACAGTGCAGAAAAACTGTCAGTGATGTGGAAAAGTTTTCAGTTCCACAAAAGTTGCCAAAATATGTAGGGATTAACACTGGGGAGAAAAACTATGTAACTAATGTTGGAGAGCTTTTCTGCACTTGCAGAAATTGTCAAGAACATGAAGAGAATCACATTCTGGGAGAAAGTCCATACATGTGAACAATCTAGGAAAGCTTTAGCCATATATCATGCTTGCCAAAAACAGGAAGGCACTCACACTGAGGAGAGAATCTGTGTGTGTAACCAATGTGGGAAAGCCTTCAGCTCACACAGTCATTGTCAGAGACATGAAGGAGCACACACTGTTGAAATGTGTGTAAGCAGTGTGCAAACGTATTCAGTACACAGAGGTATTGTCAAATACGTGAAATAAATTACACTTGGGGAAAAAGTGTAGAAGCAGTAAGCAAAAGCCTGTGTGCCCTGAGTATCAGCCACATTAGTAAGGGTACCTTTAATTCTTCCACTTTACCTTGAAGTACATTAAAGAACTATTAAAAAGAAACTGTAAAGTGACAAAGCATTGTGTGATGCCTGTAACATCAGATGTTGAAATTAACAAGTGTTTCATAAATAAAATACATGGGAAATCTTTTTTGTACTATGGAGAAATTCGTATCAATATTTATTATGTGGGAACACCTATAATCATTGTGGTTTAATTCATGTGGAAAATAAAGTATTGTGAGAAACCATTAACATAAGGGTTGTGCACAAGTTATCATTTGTCCTTCATGCAAGAATACTGTATCATAACTTTGTGAATGTACAAAGGTCTCAGGTAAAATTCATACTTCCCAATCCTTTGATCACTTAAACAGTTTATACCTAAAAAATTAGTAGCTTAAAGATATCAGCTGTTTCTCCAGAAAATACACATGTACAGGAAATCTCCTAAAAAAATATATATATATATTATTTAGTACAGGATCTACAGGGTCTCACTACACAAATCAGACTCATAATGATCATCTTGTTTTCAGCCTCCCAAGTGCTGGGATTACAGGTGCACACTACCACACCGTCTCAATCCTCATCTCAGCAGCCCCTGGGGGTGGGGCCAGCAGGGCATGCCAGGGATGGAACCCCAGTTCCTACATCTGCCTAAGCAGGCACTTTAATCTGCCGAGCTATCTGGCCAGCCCTAAACTTGGTTTTAAGGTAGATTTCTTGATTAAATTGCTTGATTTTAAGAATAAATGCCATGCCTTAAACATATGAGCAAGGAAAATAATCATTCAGGGTGATGCCTGCATCTTCACTGCTAATGTGAAGTGAATTTTTGAGCAGTTAACATTGCCCCAAAGTGACCAGTCTTTGTAGGATGCCTGGGAGTGATACCTACCCTTCCCCCACACTCTTAAAAGGCATACAAGTCTGGCCCTTCTCGTAAGGGAATGGTCTGTTCTGCACTGTGGCAGGGAGTGGCCAATTAGGTGTGGGCCAACTAATTCCACCTGTGTTGGTGGAACCTAGGAGGCTTGGGGTGTGAAATGAGATGTGTGCTTGGCACCAAGTGGCCTCTCACTGATTCCCTCCTGCAGTGAGCATGGTGCGATGTAAGGGGGGAGGGGACTAACTCATTAAGTAACAAATTAAATAGAGATGCAGGGCTGAGGGTATAGCTCCATGTAGGCTGCAAAAATAATAAATGTAGCCAGGAGTTGTGGCGCATGCATGTAATCCCAGCATTCATGGGCTGACGCAAGAGAATCATTGTGATTTTCAGAGCAGCCTGGATACATAGTGAAGCCCTGTCTCATAAAATGAAAACAACAAAAAGAATAAATGAACTCACACAATTTTTGTGAACAATTGCATATAACAAAAATAGAGCTACACCCAGGGATAACTGTCAAGATCCCAGAAATTCAACACAAAAACAGAATATTAACAGCTGTTAAGAAAAGTGGATCACCTCTAAAGGAAAGGCCATCAGAATCACAGAAGCCTTCTCCACACAAACAAGTTAAAAAGTGTTTGGAATGAAGTATTTAGAGTCTTGAAAGAAAACAACTTCTAGCCCAGGTTGATAACCCTACAAAACTATTTTTCAAAAAAAAAAAAAAAAAAAGGTGAAAGAGAAGGGGCAAGAGAGGCTGGCGAGGCAGGGGTGGCCGGCAGCTACCCTCCAGCAAAAGCTGCAATAAAGGCCCATACCATGTTCCCCACCACCTCTGAGCACTCCTCAGCAGGGTACAGCTGGGTGCTGCAGGGAGGGTGGGGTCTCCTAGAGACACTAGCTGAGGCAGGGCGGGGTGGGCAGGGGGCCCAGTCTTCTACTGAGTGGCCCAGGGAAGAAGCCACCATCTTGGACCATAAGGCATTCACAAAGGAGCTGGACCAGTGGGTGAAGCTACTGAATGACTGTGTGCAGCTGAACGATCCCAAATGTGGGTTCTGTCTGAAAAGGCTACGAAAATTTAACAAAAGGAATTCTGCCTCCATGGTGGCCTCTACCCACCCACAGATACACCGCATAATGTAAGAGCCCTGGGTCCTTTACAGGAAGTTCCACATGATGTTCTAAGGTGTGAGCTCTTATGGTCAGGTCCAGATGATTGTGGTGGGTGGGGTATTTCACCAGGTGGTGCTGGCTACACATTTGTGGCCGGCAGCTACCCTCCAGCACATTTGGAAGAAATTTTTCTGAAATACTTCACCTTGCCAATGGTCTGACACTGGCTTCTCATGCCCAACAACTTACAACTGAGGGCTGCAATGAGTGTCCTGATCGGAACGAGATTACCATATTCGGTGCACCCAGTTACTGTTACCTTTGTGGAAACTAGGCTGCTGCTGTGGAATTGGGTAATACTTTAAAGGCTCTTTTCCTTTTGACCCAGCACTTCACTGTAGAGAGCCTCATGTTACTCAGCACACCTTCGACTACCTACTTCCTATAAATTTCTCCTGGGAGAAACTGCCTTTGTATGGGAAAGTATACATGGCTTAAAAAAATGTATCATCTATCTATCTATCTATCTATCTATCTATCTATCTATCTATCTACCTACCTAAAAATGTGATAGTAACCTATGTTTCTGTACCAAACTGTGATCTGTCTTGGTATTAAAACACATCATTGGGGCCGGGGAGATGGCTCAGTAGAATAAGTACTTGCCTGGCAAGCACATGGGCCTGACTTCAATCCCCAGTTCCACAAACACACACACACACACACACACACACACACACACCCCTCTCATGGACCAAAATGTCATACTAACATCAGAACATTTAGCACAATCTGAGACTGAAATAGTACACTTTGTTTTGGATCAGCCAACCTAATGGTTTTTCTGCTGTTTTTGTACTATTTTCCTCTGGACTGTTCCAGCAAAAAAGGCAACTAACTGCTTTATTTTCTTTTGTGCTTATTTAAAAATTTTAGTTACAGTGTTTAATAAGCATGGATTAATATAATTGGAATTTTACTCAAGAAAAATTCACAAACTGACTTCCACTTAATCCATTACACTTTATTTTATTTTAGTTATTTATTTTGGTGGTACTAGGGATGGAACTCAGAACCTTCTACTTGCCAGGTAAGCACTTATTCCACTGAGCTATCTCCCGGGCCCCCTACAATTTATTTTATTGAAATACATAATTAACTGAAGAAAAGATTCTTCTTGGGAGTGCGCTGACCTAACATTAAAGAAATTGTCCTTCATTTACATTACTGTTTTTTGTTGATCTGTATATTTGTCATGACAGTGCTTGCATCCCATTTGCTGCACTGAGAAAATGAACTTTTCATTTTAAACAAAAATATTAATGGAGGGGCTGGGGAGATGGCTCAGTAGAATAACTGCTTGCCTAGCAAGCTTCAGGGCCTGAGTTCAATCCCTGGTTCCACAAAAATAAAAAAAAAAATTCAGACACACACAGAAAAAAAAATATTAATGGAGAAATAAGACACTTCCAAGACAAAGAACAACTGAAGAAATTCATGACCACCAAACCAATCCAACTAAGACTAGTGAAAGATATGCTAGAAAGAGATAAAAGTGATCTCAATTGTAAGAAAACAAAAGAAAAAAACAATCCAACAGGGCAAGCAGTTCAACACAGGGGAAAGTTAGGGAGCCAATGGCAGAAAAATAACATGACAAAGATAAGCCAATACATATCAGTTGTAACCATTAATGTAAATGGCCTCAATTCACTGAACAAGACTGGGTGTGGTGGCATGCACCTGTAATCCCAGCTCTTGAGAGGCTGTAAACAGGTGGATCACTACAACTCTAGTCTAGCAATGAGATCCTGAACACCCTGTATACCTACCTTTCCCTAAAAAATAAAAAATAAAAAAGTACTGAAAAAAAATTCACCTAACAAAAGAAACAGACTGGCAAAGTAGATCAAGAAACAAAATTGCACAATATACTGTATACAAGGAACACATTTAACTCAAAAGGAAATTTATAGACTGAAACTCAAAAGATGGAAAACAATACTCATGTGACAGGAATGCAGAGAAAAACAAGGGTAGCTATCCTGTTTGCAGACAATGTGAACTTCAAGAATGACCCAAAGAGATAAGGAAGGTCAACACATCCTTGTTAGGGGACAATTTCAAGAGGAACAGTTAACAATCATAAATATGTCTGCACCACATACGGGAGCACCCAATTATATGAGACAAATATTAGTAGACCTGACATAGTTGTAACAGGAGACCTTAATACCCCACTGTCACAAAGAGATTGATCAACTAGACCAAAAAAGAACAAAAGAATTAGAGCTGAACCAAACTTGTGAACAACAGATTTAGTACACATTTACAGAATGATCCTCCCAACACCAGAGTACACATTCATCTCAGCTACACACAGGATATTCTCTAAAATAAACCATGTATTAGCCTTAGAACATACTTAAGTAAATGCAAAGGATTTGAAATTATCAGGTCAGGGAGGAAGCGCAGTGATTTAAGAGCCTTCCTGGCAAGCACAATTCCTAAATTCAACCCCTGGTACCACAAAAATAAATAAATAAATAAATAAAAATATTAAAAAATTGAAATTATATGCGTATTACCAGAGCATAGTGAAACAACAACAACAAAAAAGGAAATAATGGACAAAAACCCCCACAAACACACCATACACAGGAACATTAAATAACACTCTCCTAAACAATCAATGGGGGGCTGGTGAGATGGCTCAGTGGTCTAAAGCACCTACTTGGAACAAGCTTGGCAAAGCACAGGGACCGCGGTTCAATCCCCCAGCACCACATG